AATAATGGAGCATGGATCTACGTAGATTATAGTTGGTAGATTGTCGGGTATGATCGTGAGCAAGGAGTCTTTTGCATTGCACCGTGACTTTGTGATGAACTTGCAGTGAAGGAAGTGTTTTGGGGTCGATTCGTATTCTGTGATGGAGAGAGAGAGAGAGAGACGAGATTGGACAAGAGAAAAGAGAGAGTCTGGTGAAGGTTGGAGGAGTGTTTGTTGTGTTAAAGTTTTTTTTGTTTGTTTTGGAGAGATGGTAAAGAGGAATTTGGTTTTTCTCGGAGCATGACGATGCATACGAGTAGGGGGGCTATTAGATATATTGGGGGTACTCGTAGCATAGTATGACGGTTGAGATGTTCGGTACGTACGTACGAAAGTAACAGTGATGAGATGCGGAGGGATAGGAACTTTCTACATATATTCCTTGGTTGCGAGAGGTATTTGGTGGAGATTCAGAGAGATTCGTTGAGTGACAAAGAGTGAAGGCGTGCCCAGATACCGTGAAGGTTTGACGAGCACTGGCACGCCCCCGATACTTTCCAATCCTTTTCGATACGTTTTCTACATGTTTCTCCCCTTCCACGCCCCGCCATGAGCCACCCGCTTTGAGCTCCAAGCACAAAGAACCGAGCCACCCGAATTATCGATCAACAGCAAGCACTCCCGCAGAGTCGAGCCCCGTGGGTCAACCATGAAACCAACCCAGGGGACTATCAATTCCTATCTGCGTAGCCAATTCCTACAGTCCCGTTGGAATATTCTCATCCGCTCATGCACACACGAACACCCTCCCTGGTTCTTTACGCTTGTACCTAACCACTAGTGGGCATGCACACGCCGGATGTGACGAAAACCCAAACGGACAAAAAACCAACGCGAAAAAATAACAGGGGGAAACCCGGCCTCCGGGTCAAAACCCCCACCAATATTCACCGTTCCACCAGATACTGTCACTGTTGCGCTACCAGAGCAAGATCAATACATACATGCATAATACCAGTCGCGCCAGGATCCACGCTCGGAATCTATATCTACAAACGTGGGCGGCGTGCTATCATATTCTTCCTGCATGACGTACCAAGATCATAACCCTGTTTCCAACAACGGCCTATCTCAATTCTTGGTGGGCAATAGCGTAAGACTATCCTGAGGAGTTGGTTCAAACAACTAAATACCATGCGGCTGCGCTACTATTATCTGTTCTTCAAACAAACATCAGACAAACATCGAAATCGCCCCCCCCCCTCGCTGACGTAACACAGCGCACCGGGGCATAAGGCAGTCATCCAACATTTTCTGAGCGACACACAACCGGCATGAATTTTTCGACAATCCTCTGTTCTCGTCGACGTACAACACTGATGTCCCAATTTTTCCTCATACGTTCCTTCAGCGGTTCCAACAGTATCCCGGATTCCTGCACATTTCGCAACCTAGAGAACGGCCCCACTTGGCGGCAATCAAGAAGTTTCAACCAAATGACTACCAGGAAAATACTGAACATGTGGACGCGAACGCCTCCGAGAAACACGGAACACCCTCCCTGGCTCTTCAACCAAAGTGCACTCATGACAACTAACGAGGATCACCAACTTCGCTACGAATACCATCAAACACCAAATACCGTCAAGAAAGAAGCGCCAATCCAGCACTGTGATGCGTGTTGCTCCCCTCCCAGCCCTCGTCCCGGCCTGTAGCCTCGCCAGAAAAGGAGTTCCCGTTTTAGCATCACGAGGCAAGTACCCTCCCCCCCACGCCCCTTCCGACGTGCCGCGGGGTTCCCCCTCACGCCCTTTCCGGCGCTCCACGGGGCTGCTTCGGTTTTCTCCCCCCCTCACGCCCCGTCCGACGCGCCACGGGGCCTTAGATTTTTTTTGTTGTTGCCCTCCCGCGCCCCTCCCGTCGCGGCTGCGAGCACACGGCCCTCCCGCCGTGTTATTTTGTTGTTGCCCTCCCGCGCCCCTCCCGTCGCAGCTGCGAGCACACGGCCCTCCCGCCGTGTTATTTGGTTGTTGCCCTCCCGCGCCCCTCCCGTCGCAGCTATATGAGCACACGGCCCTCCCGCCGTGTTATTTGGTTGTGGCCCTCCCGCGCCCCTTCCGTCGCAGCTATGAGCACACGGCCCTCCCGCCGTGTTATTTTGGTTGTTGCCCTCCCGCGCCCCTCCTGTCGCGGCTGTGGGCACACGGCAATCTCGCCGTGTTCTCTGAGTGCTGCCCCCCCACGCCCCTTCCGTCACGGCTATGGGCGCACGGCCTTGCGGCCGGTTTTCTGTGTCTCCACCTTTCCACGCTGCTGCGATGGTGTAGATGGAGCGTGCGCGGTGACCCGCGCGGCTTTGGCGTCTTTCCCCCGCCTGTCCTTACAACGCCTCACGTGCCACATCCAGCTCCTCGTCATCGCTCGCCACCACAACCGCCATGACTGCCGTCTCGCCCTTCGCCTCCTCCTCACCCTTCGCCGACGGGCACTTGCTCTTATCGTGTCCATACCCGTCGCAGACTTCGCACTGGGTCAAGAAGTTGGCGATGGGGGTAGTGCACGAGACCGACTGGTGCCCTCGCCTGTTGCACCGGTAGCACCGGCCCCTGCGGCGGCCGCCGTCACTGCGACCGTCTCCACCCCCGTTGCCGTTGCCGTTGCCGTTGCCGTTATTGCCGCCGTTTCCGCCGCCGCCGCGTCCCCCACGGCCGCGGTTGCGACCAGCTCTTCCGCCGCCGCCATTGTCGGTGCTCACGAGTAATCCCTGCTCAGACGCCTTGTGATTGTTGCGGTTGCCGTTCCGATGGTTCTTCCCTTGCCTGATGCTGGAGTGCTGGGAGCCCACCACTCTGATGACCTCTCCCCGGTCCAGAGTCGGGGCGGACTGCAGAGTCAGTTTAGCATGGTCGTACTCGGCTGGTAAGGCCGAAAGGAAGAGCGACAGCACGTACGGGGCCTCGACTTTGACCCCCCTCTCGTTCAGACGACTTGCGAGTTGCTCCATGGCGATAAGCGATTCAGTAGGGTTTTTGTCGGCCGGCATTGCGAAGTTCTGAAACTTGCTGAGCAACTCCTGCGTGGCGACCTGCGATTCCGGGTTGTGCACCTTGTCGAGTTCGTCCAACGCCTGCTTCGGTGTCACACATCTCCCGAAGACTGCCTTGTCTGGCTCCCTCACCAGGGCCGAGGACAGAAAGTGAAAAGCTTGGAGGCTGCGGTGTATCTGTGCCTCGGAGTACCCCTCTGCCAGCAGCGTAGCTTTGGGTTTATTCATGTTCCCGACGTCCGGCTGGCGTTCCATGCCCCCTACGAACTGACCGTCCATGTCTACCGTTTTTGCAGCCTGGATAAAGGTCCTCCTCCACGAGTAGTACCCCTGGCCGCCTTCGAGGCGCGGTGCTTGCACTGACACACGCATTTTGCTATACGGGTTCTGGTGAAAACCGTCTCCTTCTCCGACGAGTCCGCCAAAACCGCCAATACCACCGCCATATGTCTCGGTTTTCTCACCTTGGGGGAGCGATCCCCTGTCACGCCAGCCACCCGGCCCAACCGCCGGGTCTGAGGGCGGCGTGATTCCCTCGTTCTGCGGTGCCCCCTCCTTGGCACCGCCGGTGGACGTAGTGCCCGTGACGACAGCGCCCACCCCAGCGCCGCCGGCCTCCCCCTCCTTGTCTAACTTTCCGAGGGCGGCTCGGAGCAGCCCTGCCAGCTGCTGTACCTCGTCCGTCAGGCCTGAAACTTTGCTCTCCAGGTTGTCAACCCTGCCCTGCGTACTAGTGGTGACGTCGGCAGCCTCTGCTGCAACACCGGCGCCACTCATCTCCAGCACGGGTTCCCTCGAGGGATACACTCTAGAGTGTTAGTATACCCTTGTAAGTGTGTTGAAGATGATGGTATCACTTGTATTTAGGACAGCAGACACGATCAGGACGCGGCGGGAGAGAGAGAGTGCCACGACACAGCAAGCACTCCCGCAGAGTCGAGCCCCGTGGGTCAACCATGAAACCAACCCAGGGGACTATCAATTCCTATCTGCGTAGCCAATTCCTACAGTCCCGTTGGAATATTCTCATCCGCTCATGCACACACGAACAGTCTCCACATTAAAAACCGTTCCGACGTCCTCCTCGATACTTGTGGACTACCTGTTGGAAATTGTGGGAATCCCTTCATTCTGAGAGAGAGAGCCATAGGTCGCCATCCGGTCTTTTCATTTTTTGTATGCACTTTTCTTCGTGTGAAGTTTTGACGTTGCGCTTGCCATCGTCGCCGCGTAAGTGTTTGTGTCTTCAAACCTTCTCAGCCGGCCTTCAAACTTCTTGTTGATAAGTCTCCGTGGTAACTTCTCCGCGCATGAGTCATATGCAGCTATGACCTGCGCTTTGACTTTCACGATGGGTATTTTACTTCCCCGTCTTGCGTTGGTGAGTACCTGCGATATACAGAAGGATCGCTCCACGACGCAATCGTCGACGTCTCCATTTTGTTTTTTGTTCCCTTCGCACTCCATCCTTTCGGCGGTTTTCACCCCGAGTTCGAACGTGGGGTGCAATTTCCTCTCTTCGTACCTTCCTCGTCGGCCTTCTCCGTCGTTGTGTACATAATGTATACCTCCATTTTTCGGCTTTTCGATTCCGATAGACAAGACTACGGACTGACATGTTCCTTTCCCTCCCGACGGGACCGCGCGCTCGTCGAGTGCCGAAATTCTTCATCACTTCCTTGCCTCTCCCAACACCGTCCCTTCTTCCCGCCCTTACAAATCCTCTCCCCTTCTTCTTCTTCTTTCCGTCCTCCCGGACACTCACCACCATCCGTCCTGGATGTTGGCCCACAGCCCCATTGGGGGGATAGGCCAATCCTTAACCCTAGTAAGCCTTATCTACTCCACTACGCCAAACTCTTTCGCAGTCATGGCAACGTTTGGTAGATGTCGAGTCGCAAATTGACATGTTACCCATTGAATTGCAATCACCATGTTTGTATTGCTCGCGCGTAGCATTTTATTAACGAAGCGTCCTCGATTCCGAGACAAGTTACTGGAAGAGGCAAACACCCTCTCGGTCGGCTGGGTTGGCGCAGGGTTCAACATAGCGCGTGGGTGTGCTGTACTGATAGAATTGGATTAGGGTTCCCAACCCCGCCGTGGGTGTGGGCAGGGTTATACCCGTAATTTTGTGCTAGGGAGGCAATGAGGCGATGTTTCGCGTCGAAGACACCGTACATACCTTTCCATTGATGTATTGGTTTGCATACAAACACGAAAAACGGAAGAAAGCGCTAGTCTATTTCATAACACGCAACACGCATGTCTCACCCCGGAAGTAACGCCGTTGGTCTCCCACGACAAACGGGCATTTGGCAAGGCAGCAAATTGCAAGAATTAGGTGTGGTGAAATGCTCGCAACGATCGGCCATCGAAGCAATAGAGGGTGCGCGGGCGACAAAACAAACGTTGCGGGTAGTCTGCTCCCAGGTCCGCTACATATATGCTCTTCGCCCTCGTTCCCGATGGCAACTTAGATGCAATAAGGTCGTCGTCAACCTCAGGTGAGGAGTGAATTGTCGATACAGTCCCTTCTACGTGTCGCGTTATATCAACTGTTCCGCTTATGTATCATACGGCCAATGCCTCCTCGCGCCCCGGGGTGAGTATTTAACAACGATACGTCAACGGCGCCACCGACTGACTGTCATGAACGCCGGATTTACATCCTTCATATGTAAAAGGTTGCGAACTCCCCCGGTGCTAGGTGAAGTGCAAGCACTAACGCTGCTTTTCGCATTCAAGAGTCGGACACGACCTTCTAATTTGTCTTCGTACTTTTCCTGGACGCTCCCGACCCAGCCCCGAAACCGTCCCTAACCCTTTTGGCCCTGCGACTCTTGTCTTGTCGGCCCTCAGGGTTACCGATTGAGTGCGTAACAACGCCGGGGCGCCCCTTACTCCCTTCCGGCCTCCCTTTTTTCGGGGCTTGCGATGGGTTCCTCGTCTTCGAGCCACCGCTCGGGTCATGCAAGTGGAACTTGACGAGCTTGTCAACTTCTGCCTGAATCTCGAGAGCCTTGGCAAACGGTACCGTCCTAAAAATTTCGCCGACGTTGTCCTTACTCCTTGCCATCATGGTCGCGTACGCTCTGCGCTGGTCGGACGCTTGCCGTTCCTCAGCGGCCAGCGCTGGACGTTCTGAGGGGTGAACGCCTTCCTCGCGTTGTTCTGGTCGTCGAATGTTGGGCCCCAGTAGTTGTGGTCGTCACCTGCGACACATCCGTCCCACCCGTTACCGTGCACCGTGTTGTCCAACACCCTGGAAACGGTCCATGGCTCATCGCTGCCGTCAGGTGACTTCCTCCACCGGTTATGTACGCTGTTACCGTCGAAGTCGTGACGAAGCAAAACTCCTTCATACTTGCCGCCGATGAAACGAAGTAGCACAGCGAAGTAGTGCCTGCATAGTAGCCCATGACGCAAAAGCCTCAAGCTTGAGCACAGGTGAAAGCCGTCGGCGCCGAAAACCACGACGTGGCTCGGCTTCCTTGCGTTGAGGTTGTATCGCGCGGCGGCAACAAGGTTGACTGGAACATCAGCAAAGAGCGCCAAAAACGCCGTCGAGGAGGTACGCGCCCACGCGGTGCTGTTCACTGTCGATTGAGCGTTCTGCCCGCGTATGATGTCTTCGTCTAGGTCAGTGTTGGCTGGCGCTTCTTCGAAGGCGTTGATGCCTCGGGTACAGCTTTCGACCGCCATACGGAGTGATCGGCCATCCAGAGGAAGGGGGTAGCCGTCGTCGGCGGCGGGGCCTAAAGCTATGATTTGGACATCGTATGGCGTGGATCCGCCCACCTCGTCTCTGAGTTCCTGAAGTATCAACGATACGGGGTGGAATGTTTGAGGAGACTTGCTGAAGTCAGAAAGCAATACAACGTACGTCACGCGAACGGGTGGAACGCAGGCTTGTGTTTGTATACACTGCCGGGTTTAGGCTCGACGCCTAAACGATTGTGTAGCGTACCATACCAAACGAGATGCGGCACTCTTTGTCGCGGACACTCGTCATTACATGAGCTGCAGGCATGAGATGAGTTGCAGCATTACTTCATCATGTCGCGCATCCCGAGTGCTCGTGAGAAGCTCCAGTTCTAGGTTTGTGGTTTCTGTTGTTCGTTTTGTCTTGCTTTGACATGAGAGACACAAGCGCTTTCGCCGTGATCACTCCACTCTTACACCACCAAAACCTGAGTTGGGGGTATTAAGTGACCTACTTGGTTTCGTGGTCCCGAGGCACAAACCAAGTTGCAATTACTGTCGAACGGTAACCTGTTCGTGGGTCCACGGACATGTTTTGGATATGTTAGTCGTACGTACAAGTGTGACGCAGATGGTGTAGAACCCTTTAGGTAGGGGTACGGTGATGATGCACCGGGACCCCCTTTTGTTGTGTGCAGCAGCCCTGCTGCCACTCCTCCTTTCTGAGCACGACAGCGCCCTGGGTACGGGCGTTGCCTCACCGTCTGAAGTTAATACACTACACAAACAATACCCGACAAGTACGCGGAGTAAAGGCTTGCAAACACTCTAGAGTTTGTCCCTCGAGGGTTAGCCGCATCGGGTGATGGCTGCGTCGGACAGCGGTTCGGTCGAAGGGCTGGGGGAAGAGACCTCAGCCACGCAACAGCAACACGCCGAGGACCCGGTGATTGCGAGGCTGGAGGGCCAGTTATCGCAGCTGATTAGCATAGTGATCGAGCTGAAGAGGAAGGAGCCTGGCGACGCCGTGGCGGGCGATGCCAGTAGGGGCGGCGGTGCTGCCGTCCCAAGCCAGAGAGATACCTTGCCGTCGGAGGGCGGCGGGGCATTTTCCCGGGAAGCGGCCCGTGATGGGCCAAATCACCCGTGGGAAAGCCGCTGGGACAACATGCCGGGAGCGAGTCCTGGGGTTCCAGCGAGAGTGGGGCCTGGCGTAGGAGCTGACCGCGGGGAAGCGAGGGGTTAAACCCCCCAGGTGAGATACCCGCAACTCGTGATAACGGTGAATACATCAACAGCTTCAATCACGCGAAGAAAGTGAACGTGGTGACCCCTCGCCTTGAGGGGGGCCGCAGCAGCGGATATAGCACGTGGCGAAAAGCTTTCATCCAGGCCGCTAAGACCGTGGAACTAGACGGTCAATTCATCGGGAGTACTGAGAGACATGCCCCCGTGGGCGACCCGAACATGCCCACCTCCACACTGTATAACGACTTGCGCTACACTAGGAGCGAGGTCGCACGTGGGCTCGCCGCGTTCCACTTCATCACTACCGCCGTGGTGAAAGAAACCGACAAAGCGGTCTTCAGTAGTTGTGTGACGGCGAAGGGGGTCCTCACGGAGCTTGAGAAAGTTTACGACCCCGAGTCGCAGGGCTCCAAACAAGCTGTGATGAAAGAGATGTTCCGCTTCTCGATCCCGGCACACAGCAGCAGCAATCCAATCGAGCACCTAAGCAAGCTCGAGCAGATATACATGCGCCTACGCGAAAAGGGGCTCCATGCTGACACACCATTTGTCCTCGCACACTTCGTCGACTCGCTTCCACCCGAGTACCAACAAGCGAAGTTCCTGTCGGAGACGGCGACGAAGCTGGACAGGGGCGAGATCGTCAGGATCGTGAGCACGGTGCACGCGAGCCTCCCGGAGGGGAGGAAGGCCCCGAAGGGCCAGCGGAAGGCGGAGCACGCTTTCCTCGCGAGCGACGGTGGCAGCAGGGGTGGAGCGCCCGGCCGCAGCAGCGGCGGCCGCAACAAGGGTGGCGGCGGCGGTGGTGGCGGCCAGAAGGGGAAAGGGGGTGGTAGCAAGGGCGGTGGGGGCGGTGGTGGTGGCAACAGCGGCGGCGGTGCAAGTAGCATGCACGGCCGCTGCTTCCGGTGCGGAGAGAAGGGTCACCAGGCGGCCGCCTGTACCAAGCCCGAGCCCCTGCGATGCGAAAAGTGCCTGGGCTACGGACACGACAAGAGCACATGCTCGTCCGAGCAGGCGGTGCTCGCGGTGGAGCTGCCGGTCTTGGACGCCACCGCACTGGACGTCGCAGAGGAGGCGCTAGTGGTCCGTGACTTCACAGGCGAGTGGAACAGAGTCGTTGATCGAGGGGGTGTAGAGCAGGCCAGGCAGGGAAGGTTTGCGGCCGATACCGGCGCAACCAACCACATGTTCCCGAGCGCTAACGCGTTCAAAAACTACCATGAGTGCGATCGACGTTTGAGTGTCGCCGCAGGGAAGCAAGCCTTCGCCATCGTAGGGTATGGCGACGAGAGGGTGACCATCGGTTCTCGCGTTGGGACCACAGACCTGTTGTTGAAACGGGTCGCTCATGTGCCGGAGCTCAACTACAACCTCGTGTCCCCCACAGCCCTCTTGAAACAAACCAAGGGCCGCTTAGCCGCAGACGAGCACGAGTTGGAGGTGTTCGTTGGTGGGGGGGAGTCGGTGTACTTCCCTCGATGGGGGGACCTGTTCGTTCAGACTGGTCACCGCATAGAGTCGGGTAAGGAGCTAGCCTGTGCCATAATTGCTCCTGGTAACGCGAAAGCGAACCTCACCCCCGTTGACATCAACGACTTCCACTGCGCGCACGGCCACTCCCATGAGGTGCTGCTGAAGAACACGGCGAAGTAGCAAGGGGTGACGCTGGTGGGCCAGCTCCGGGAGTGCATGGGGTGCTCGACGGCAAAGGGGCTATCCAAGCCCATCCCCAACAGGACGTCCACCCGAGCACCGCTGCCTCCCATTGCAGAGGAGGACGAGGAGCCCACGACTGGGGAGCACGAGGGCGGGGAGGGTGCGTCATGCCACGGTGGAGGCGGAGGGAGAACCTGAGGATGGAGGTTTCCAACTTGACACGACGGTAACCCCGGGGCCCGTGAAGCCGCCCGCGCGCGATGCGCCGGCGGCGCCGCCGGCCGCGCCCCAGGAGTCGGGCGCGGGCGACGCTGGCGATGGCGCCCCCTCGAGCAAGGAGGGCGCGAGCGTCGCCCCATCTACCACGTCGACCGGAATGGCCGACGTGGGCAGCGGCGAGGACGACCGCCGCCGCCGCCGCCGCAGCAGCAGCAGCAGCAGCAGCAGCAGCGGTGGCGGCAGCGGCAGTGACAGCGGCAGTGACAGCGACAGCGTCAGCGACACGGATATCCCGGCGCTCCGCGGGCCCGAGGAACGGAAGCTCGCCCGCTTTGGCGAGCCGGCCGAACTCACCAGCCGCCGACTCAGGGAGAACCCTAGCCGGAACACGAGGTACGAGTCGTCAACGAGTGCCGAAGGTCTGCTCGCCCGCCATGCGTCGGCGGCGGGGCTGCCCACCCTGCCCATCAACAGCACGGAGGAGTACACCCACTGGATGCTCGCGTGTGTGGTCGACGTGGTGGAAGGGCTAGAGGCAAGGGCGGTGCAAGCGCTGCTGTGCGAGCGCGCGGAGGAGGCCAACATCGGGCGCCAAGAGGCCGAGGACTTCCTGCTGGGAGCGGAGGACCTCGTGCTCAACTCTCCAGACGCCTTCGTGAGGGCCCTGGCGTCGACCGAGCTGAGTACAGAATCCCCCATAGGCAAGCGTCCGAGTGACGTTGAATCCCCCCCCATGACCGTAGCCGGCGTTGCCAAGTCTGTGTACAGAGAGGGATGGGAACCGGCCATGAGGGAAGAGTTTGATGGGCACTTGGACACGGGAACGTTTTCATTCGTAGACGGTACACCAGAGGGGCGTAGACCTGTAAGTTCTAAGTGGCGTTTTACTTGGAAGACGAACAAGGAGGGGAAAATCGAGAAGTTCAAAGCGCGTCTGGTCGCTAGGGGTTTTTCGCAAATTCCGAATGTGGACTACTTCTACTCATCCCCCCCTTGCCCATCATCCGCATCCATTAAACTGATGCTTGCGGTAGCCAATGAGAAATCATTGAAACTCAACCACTGGGATGTCAAGCAGGCGTTTACACACGCTAAGTTAGACGAGGATGTGTTCGTGAGGCTCCCCGCGGCGTGCGGGGAAAAATCCCACAAAGTTGTGAAGGCTGAGCGTGCTATTTACGGCTTGAAGCAGAGCGGCAGGCAGTGGGGGTACCACCTGCCGACACGCTTGTAGAACACGGGTTCGAGCAGTGCAAGGCGGACCCGTGCGTCTTCCGCAAGATGAAAGACGATGTCGTGGTGTTGATTATCGTGATTTATGTGGATGACATTTTGGTGGCTGGGTCTGATGATGATTGCAAGGAGTTGCTCGCTTCCCTCAACAAGGCATTCCCCACCAAAGACCTTGGAGAGTGTGTGTGTGTGGTTCGACAGGTGTGCCGTTCAGAGAGACCTAGAGGCTGGGACCTTTAGAATCTCCCAAACCGCGTACATTGACAGCATCGTGAATCGCTTTGATGTGCAATCGACCTCCCCCATCCCTGCTTCCCCCGGTGCCGACCTAGGGCCGAAGCGAGATGACGAGAGTGGAGGGGAGTGGCCAGTGAGGGAGGCCATCGGCAGCATGATGTGGGTGTCGACGTTCTCGCGCCCGGACATCTCGTTCGCTGTGCGTGCGGTAGCGCGCCACGCCCCTGCCCCTGCCGAGAGGCACTGGAAGGCGATACGGAAGATCTCGCCTACCTCAAAGAGACGAGGGACCTCGGGATCACCTACAAACGGGGATCGGGGCTGGGGCTGGCGGTGTACGTGGACGCTAGCCACGCCGACGCTGAGGATAGGCGCTCGGTGTCAAGGCTGGCAACAACAATTGGAGGGACCGTCATCAGCCATGGTAGCAAGACGCAAGCTATCGTATCTTTGTCGTCTACGGAGGCAGAGTACATTGCTGCAGGAGAGGGTGTGAAGGAAGCTTTGTTTGTGCGTGCAGTGCTTTCGTTTATTGCCCCAGAGACCAGTGGCGGCAGCATTCAGGTAATCAGGGGGCCATGGCCTTGGTGTAGAACCCCCTTAGCTCAGCGCGTAGCAAGCACATCGATGTGCTTAGGTCGGGGGACATCTCGATCAAATTTGTGTCGACGTCGGAGCAACATGCAGACATGCTCACCAAGGCTCTTAGCAAGAGCAACCTGCGGTACCACCTGAAAAAGCTGATGAATTTGCCGGAGTTCCTGTAGGATTTTTTAGCGCTTGGGGAAGGTCATGTATACCATGCGGGGAAAGATGCATTACTATCGCGGGCTGTGTACCATTGGCAGGAGTAGGAGGCTTGCCTCGCATTCTTGTCTTCGCCTTGGCCTTCCTGATAAGTGCGGCCGTTGTGATCCGCCGTGATAGCAATGGTTTGTGTTGGATGGGGTTTACTTTCGAGGGGTTTTGCCCGGGCGCCGGGTTTCCCCTCGACCACCGTATTGGCATTTTATTGATGTATCCGGGGTGTTTTTGCCCCACTGATGGTGAGTCACTTGCGTGAAGAACCAGGGAGGGTGTTCGTGGGTCCACGGACATGGTTTGGATATGTTAGCCGTACGTACAAGTGTGACGCAGATGGTGTAGAACCCTTTAGGTAGGGGTACGGTGATGATGCACCGGGGCGCCGTTTTGTTGTGTGCAGCAGCCCTGCTGCCACTCCTCCTTTCTGAGCACGACAGCGCCCTGGGTACGGGCGTTGCCTCACCGTCTGAAGTTAATATACTACACAAACAATACCCGATAAGTACGCGGAGTAAGTCTTGCAAACATAACCTCTCAAGCACGATCTACGGGACCGACCACAACACACAGCACACATCCACAGCTGATGGAACGCCTATCGCCGAGACACTTCTCACCCGCTGGTAGTACTGGCTGGCTCCAACACGCTGGAGCTCGTCTTCCATGGGATCGAGCAACGTTTGCAGGTCCTCCTCCTGGAACGCTTTTCGGGCTACAATGGGTCGAGTCCCCAACCTGTGAAGGTGAAGGCACGCCGGAATGTTTGCCGGGGGTAGGTGTCGTGCAACATGAACGCAAGAAGTCTAGATTGTGCGGATGCCTATGGCGTGGTACTTCTTTGCGAAGCACGAAAGGCATAGTGAGCAATATTCCAAAATATTCACAAGTGACCGTTGGACGGGACACACGCAGTACATTCCGTGGCCCCACGGCAGGAATAGGTAGCTCCGAGAATGTCGTCAAAGTCACCTGCCGTGGTCAATGTCCAGCATCTGGTTGAAACGCTGGAGTTGATCCCAAAGCGCAGGGCAAACCATGTCCTGTACGAAGAGTTTGGCCGCTTATCTGCTCCACCGGCCTTGGAGTCACTGAGCCCCCGTTGGTGAGGGTTTCTCTGCACGCACAAGTCCGATTGGAGCGCGCGATGGCTTGCATGAAAGCCGTGAGCCGTGCCAACATGGTGCATTGCAGGTTCGGCCTGGTTGAGCTATGTGACGGGAGGTATAGAGGGATGAATGACGTCTACCCCCTGCCGACATGCTGCGGAACCCCCTCTGTTGATCATTTATCTGCACTGAGATATCGGAGGTGAGCGTACGATAGCTTGAACGAAAGGTATGGACTGTGCTAACACGATGCGAAAGAGGTTAGGGCGATTGGACCTGTGCAGCGGGAGATATGGTACGATTACTACTTCCTGCGATGCGGCGGAGCCCCCCGTTTCGAGCATTTCTCTGTCAGTACTGGTCGGATATAGTTATTGAACAGCTTGTTGGATAGCTATGACCCATACCTACACGATGCAATTGGTTTGAGGTCGATTAGAGTTCTGTGGGTGGAGATCTGCCTGGTGGAGCAAATAATAACTTACTCCACCGGTGGAGCAAATTGCATCGCCGTTTATTTATTTGTTGTCTTAACTTCAAATCAGCGCTCACAGCACTAAATAGTGCCGTTTACTCCAACCCGTGGCATACAGAAGAGCCCCTTTCTACCCACCCCTCCTGCGGTACTTTGCCTTCGATATTTAATGCGAGAAGAGGTCAGCACTCTCTTCGCTCTGTGTACGCACACGAACTAGCGCTATCCACTAGGCCAGAAGCGGAAGCGAGAGAAAATCTCACTTTGCAAGAAAAGCTCACGTACGCCGGGATTCGAACCCCTGACCTGACCTCTAGAAGGTTTCGAGGACACCAACCAGACCACCAGGGCGACCGGCGCCTGTCAGTCAGTGTGGGAGACGAAAAATGTATTTGTGCAACCTCACAACGTAGACTAGTCCTGCAAGGTGGATGGTGCACGTCCTGATGAGGTTGATCTCTTGCGAGATGTGTGGATGGTATGCTAGGGGGAAGGGGAGAACATGGGATGTGCCTGTCTATGGGGTTCATGTAGTTGATGAACATGTATGCATGTTGAAATTGTGAGGCTGTACATACAGCAGTATTAAGATAGATGGTGACTGACTTACGGGCTGACTGATGTCGTCCACAATGAGCACAGTCAGTCTGGAAGGAGAAAAAAAAGTATCGTACACACAACATCCTCATGAGGTTACATACTTCAGCAGTTTAGTGCTGGCGAGATGTGCACTACTTTCGAGCACTGCCTTTTGCCTTGCCTTGGTCACTGGCGATCGGCGAAAGTCATGTTTCACTCATTAACAGGGCCGTGTCCTAAGTCGTCCACTTTCGTGCATGACTCGCGATCTGTACCAACCGTGGACGTGCATCCTTCCCGTCGTGGGTGCGGCGGTACTTTCGACCCAGTGGGGGTAAAACTGGGGGTAATGATGAGGAAGGGGTGGTTCGGTTGATCGCGCACGGGGTAGATCTACGAATGAGACATACAACAACGGACGCGTTTTTACAAGCTGACACCAGCATTAGCGCGAAACTCGAAAGAGGGGTCCATCGGGCCAGGAGGGACACCTCTTCCAACCCACACGAAAATCTATCGATGGAACCTCTACAAACATCGACCGAAGAAAAACATCTTGGTTTTAGAGAAGAGACCGGAGATCGCCTGTTCTAGAATCAAGTGAAATGCAGAGAGTGGGGTCACTTTTTGGTGGGGTCACTTTTTGGTGGGGTCGGAATAAGTGGGGTCGTTTTCGAATATAGGTTCTGAGAATATCGGCGACAGAAACTGAATCCCTATCGGGCTTCAGAATTTCGCGAGTGCCATAAGCCAATCGCTGTCGAAGACTCTTCCCCATTTACCACAGGCACTGGTAGTGAAGAAGTTTTACAAAATGGATTCGGTGATCCCCTCAGGATTACATGCGGGAGACAAGAAGAGGAACTCTGCACCAACTCCATTCTTGTAGATGTCGCAATCGTTAACATCAGCGAGTCGAAGCATCAACAAGTCGATCCAAACGCCAGGATCCGCCCTCGAAGATCGAGCTGCAAGTAAGGCAATCACTATGCGGGAACTTTCGACCCGTCTAGATCTACCCGCGTCAGCATCGCGTGCGTCACGGCGGGTGTGTGTTCCTGCGCCGTTCGTTGCCACCAGCAGGGAGCGGGTGCAAAGTTTTGAAGATTCGCTCAATAGATTCCGGACACGTATGTCCTAGGAGTATGAAGTGCGGAGGAATCACACACAGCATCGCAAATACAGACACTCCGGCAGATGTTGAGCCGACACCACGGCTCATTCTATATTGGAATTGGACAAAGGAGAGCCCCATCAGAGTGAATGTGATTGTATCCCCGGGCGGCAACAATGTTCTGCGTGTCCCCCGACCAAAAATTGTAACCCACCCCCACCCGCGCGCGCCTGGTGTCGCGCCTGGTGTCGACCTTATCGAAATTGGCACAGTGTATCCTTGTGTGCTAATAATATCTCGAGACGCGCACTACCAAAGTTGACACACAAGATTCAACGTGTCTCCGAGGGCGAGTCCCTCATCCCATATCGAAACCGGGTTTCAGGTCTTCGCTCTCGCACCCGGGGAGGATACATCGACGACGAGTCGTCGAACGCTCCACTTCTTGACCTACCGAAACCCGCCAGGTAGGTTGGCGGAGGAGGTTCTCGCCTGAGAAAATGTGGTGCATCAAAACGAAAGACACGGGGACACGTCATCGAACTGATGGTGGCAATCATGGTTGACCTGCTATGCATCGTCTAAAGCATTTACCATGTGTGCCAGTGCGCGTCGACGAGTACAAGGCATGGGTCATACATATTCCACCACGTACGTGAACAGCATCGTTTTCCTCGGCTTTCTCCCCATGTACACGAACGTGGCCCGATGCAAGTTTTCTCAAGGCTTCACATGCCCACGTGTTGGGATGGTATTCCCATGAAGAGGCGACACATATCATACCATACGTTTTCCACGCAATTCCCTCAAGAAATGGCAGTTGATTCAAAGTGCAAGAATTCGGCCATAAGGTGCTCCATCAAATTCTTACACTAAAAAAAAACGGAATTGGTCGTCGCCGTGTCACGCCAAAGACAAAAAAAGTAGAGTCGTGGGGAAAATTATAAGTTCTCAAGCCTTGCGAGACTGGGTTAATCTATTTTAAATATTAGGGAAATAGACAAAAGCTGCTATGCCCACCACTTTGTCGGACACGTTTGGGTTCTCGCAAATTTGCTTCGAGGAGACCATGCTTGAGTGGGTCGAGCCAACCGGGCAGCAACGATCCTGAGAACTCACGGTAGGAGCTCACGCCCTCAACGGTTTCTCTTGATCCGTGTCAAAGGGCGTTAACGATCCTCAAATCGTGTGGGTCATGTGTATTGTGTGTGTTCTCACTCTTGTCTGTTTCTTAGGTTTGACCTACGTAACAACGCAACACATCCGCTAGGTTACGCATGACGCACTTGACCTACGTAACAACACAACACATCCGCTAGGTTACGCATGACGCACGGCTACTTGTACCCACGGCGCGCAGGTCGTACAGGCTTGGCCCCTGCTATACTACTAGGTGGCTTCCAATCTGTGGGGGACAGGCGTATGTCACAGCGGACTGCGTGGCGTTTCCATCTGTCTTCTCGGTTTGAACCGCGTGTGTGAGATCTCCGTTCTGTGTTCCCCCCTGCAAGTCGACAACTCCCCGGACAGAGGCCTGTGTAGCACCGCCACCTCTTGACGGGGCACCACCAGACTGGTGCGACGAAGAGTGCCCTATTCTTCTTCCTCCTCAGGAACCACCGTTTATCCGGGCTTTATATCTCTTGTTCTGGCCAAAAAGAAGGGTAATTTTCGGTCCCCCGTTCATCGAGTTGGACGAGGTCGATATGCAGAGCCTGGTCTTTCCCCTCCAGGGATGGAGGCAAAAGAACGGTCGCGGCTTCGCCGCTCGGCTCATTGTGACTGCGTTAAGACCTACTGCAGCTTTATGATGCCCGGGTTTCGGGCCCATTCTGAAACCCCTTTAGGTTATCAGTTTCAGCTGCCGCCGAAAATGACCACGATGCAAATTGGGGGAATCATTCTCCGATGTCTTCGAAGACCGGTTTTGCCCCCGGATACTTGGATCGAAAATGGGGCGTCCTCCCTAAAACGTACAACCGCAGACCCGCGGGTTGAATGTAAAGAATCAACCACAATTTCCTTAAGCTTTCTGCGCAACGGTGAAAGATAGAGCTCACCCCCGTCCTCCGAAAAGTCTCGTGGGAGTTGGCGACGGCTGCGTCTCGTGCTTGGACAGGACACGACGTACAGTAGTGGTTACGTGTGTGCATGCGTGTGTGTGTTCGGAGATCTTCAGTCCAGGCATGACCGCCACGACTCCCGAGAGCCCCATCGCCCATGAAACTGCAATACAGCAGTCGTTCCCGCATCTGAGTAGAGCGAGACCCTTTCACCGTATATTCTGAAACACTCTCAACCCCCTTTCGAGCTGCGTTCCTCGGTAAAGTAACTCGCCTCCGCACATAGGTGTACAGAGGGTTGTCGGTGCTTGCGGACGACAGGACACCGGCCCTGTACTGGAGTGGAGTAACAGCATAGACCAACTACGAAAGAACGCACGGGGGTGCGATCGATTTATATATGACTTCATCCTTGACGTGTTATCGCGAGGGGGTGCGACAACACGTATCCCTGTGCGATAATCTAAATATGTAATTCGACCCTGAGCGTTTATCGCACGTGGGGTGCGATAACCTCGATACGTGCGATACCGAGTAAACAGTAAGCCCTACAGCAGTTGTACTGGCGCTTTCGACGCACACACCCGCGCGAAACACCGATACGTGGGATACAGGACGTGTCCGGCCGTATTGCCTAACACAGTGTTTCAACATGAAACACCGCGAGGTACCTCCGGCGCAGTGAGTGGCCCGCGACCAGTTGGGGGACTAGGTGTCGGTGGCCATATCACCGATGCCCGCACGAGAAGCGAAGTATGCAATTTCGTTCTTGGATTCTTATCACGGGGGTACGATATCACCGAACCGTGCGCTCTCTCGCATCCTTAGGACTGTTCTTAACGGAACTCAATTTCCCGGAAAATTTCCCCGAATCTTTTCTTGGGTCAGATTTCCCGGAAATTTCCCGGTGCAGGAACCGGATCGGGGAAAGGAGCAAGGGCAAAAAAATACTGCGTGCTACTTTCCCCGATCCGGTTTTTCGACAGAAGGATCGGGAAGGCCCACCGCCGGCGCTGAATCATCACTAAGAACGCTAGCAAGGCCTGCTGGAGTCACGTCCAGGTCTATTGCGGACATCATCCAGCGGCAGAGCCGGGTTCAGTCCGTTCTTGGTCCAAACCGAGACATTGCGTGGTCCCCTCGTCTTCAACTGCTGCTCTTGATGCTGGGGAATTTTTTCAATCGCACACAAGCAAGGAAACATACAGCAGCAGCGCCAGGGCCTCCAACGCGCTGATTCCTTCGGTTCGGCTATCAATGTGATTCTCACTCCCGGCGCAGCGCTGCTTTGTGCGTATTGGGGGCTCGCCTGCTGCTCAACAAGGTGTGTGAGAGATGTGCACCACCTCGACAAAATGCCCTTCGAAAAAATGCGGTGAGATGGCCTCTTTTTGGTCGGAGACAGCAACACGCATCCATGGCACCACGCAGTAGTAGAGCAACAGGGCCTCCGACACGCTAACTGTTTCGGATTGGTCATGTATATGATGCTGGCCCTCATCGTCACCGCCGCCCTATGATAGTTGAGCTCGTCTACCTTTCGACAGGGGGTGGTCAAAGAAGGGGGTCGCAACCGTGCAAAATGAGCCAGCAAACTGGAGAAGTCGCTAGCAACACCCAGGTTGCGACTCTCTGCCCTGCGAATGTTGCTGAACACAGCAGGCCGGGTGGACGGGATCTGAATAAGTGTGCTGTCCTATGTGTCGGGTGCTGGTCTTTGCCATTTTACCGCTGCTCAATGGTGGGCAATACCAGTTCAACCTGTTGTGTGTCGATCAAAGCGTGTATTCAGCGAAGAAAATGTATTTTTGCGATGACATCACGATTAGAACAAGCCGAAAAAGGGACGGTTTCCTTTCCACCGTGCCGTGTTTTCAACGAACGAACCTGGGTTCCGTTTGGATGGGCCTTACGGCAACTAGTCCAATGAGCTTGACAACAGAGAACGCGGTGTGATATTTACTCTGGTTGGATTTCTCCAAGCAAACGCACACACCCTCTATATGGCGACGAAGAACTACATTTGTGCGCTTCCAGCGTGCGAACAGTATGAGGTAGTGACCGTCTGAACATTGGGGGGTAATAGGGCCCTAGTACCCCCGGAATTTGAGACAATATGATTATGATGCTACGGTCACCACCTCATAATGTTCGCACCCTGGAAGCGCACAAATGTATTTCTTCGTCACGATATAGAGTGTGTGTGCGTTTGCTTGGAGAAAACACCTCTCTACACCGCTCTAATTCCAAGTGTGTCTCCTGGCCATGATTCTGACTGCAGAGGTAAGCAGTCAAGTTTCGTTGGGAGGATCTTTCACGACGAATACAGGCCGCGCCGAGCAGCAAAAAATGCGCGAACCTTCTCATTGGAAGTAGTGTATGGTCGTAGTTGTACGAAGAAATATGTAGTACACGTCTCACCACGAAAAATGGGGGGACTGCCGCCACCATAAATAGGACGAAAACACACACAAACACTAAAAAGAGAGAACTGTGATCAGAGGTGTAGTCGTGAAAACCCTCGTCCTTGAGCGAAAATTTGCGCACAGCACACGAACCTCTTTTCACTCCCAACACTAGTAACCACACGCACCGCAATCAAAACATCAAGTACCGGGGCAGGAAGTCAGCATCGACTCCGGTGTGCGTCTTTTCTGCTCTCCCCCATGGATGCGGCACCGGGTCGATCACATATTGAGGGTGCTGTTTGTACCCTTCCGTGGTATTTCGCGTTTTAATTTTACAGCAGAACCAGTAGGCAGTAGATTGGACCTGGAAAGCATATCTGCCCCACATCAGAGCCATTCGGCATGGTGAATAGTACTGGTATTGTATTGTGTGTGTGCCGTGCTTTGCTGATAACGTGCTTTTGGTGTTGGCTGCCTCTTTGTCTACCTGCTGGTCTCCATTTATGTGTTTGCTCTTAAGCCAGGCACACCGGCGATCTTTCGGCACGCAAAGTGATCGGAGCTGAGAACGGAGCTGAATCGGCCTGCAGTCACATAAGGGAAGATATACTAGCTGCCGCTTCAACGAGTGACAGCTGATAGATGTAACTGTCGTCAGACGTGTGCGTCCACGGGCGGAAACAGAGTGCAACCACCACACAATTGATAGTACACCTGCTGTGCGCTGGTGTGAGAGCTGTGGTCACGTTAACTTTCACCTACCCATTACCCCCCCCCCCCGGTCCACATCCACTCCCCCCCCGGTGTTTGCCATCGGGGTTGGGTTTTCGTCGCTTGGCAACGACGTTGTAAAATAAGCCTTACCCCCCCGCCTCGGTGTTTGTCATCGGGGTTGGGTTTTCGTCGCTTGGCAACGACGTTGTAAAACAAGCCGCCCCCCCCGGTGTTTGCCATCGGGGTTTGGGTTTTCGTCGCTTGGCAACGACGTTGTAAAACAAGCCCCCCACTCGGTGTTTGCCATCGGGATTGGGTTTTCGTCGCTTGGCAACGACGTTGTAAAACAAGCCAATTCACTTCGTGAACTCGACAACCAGGTTACCGTTTTTTTTTTTTACCTCGTTTTTTTTTTTTTTGGCGGTAACCATAATGGTGGTCGAGTAGATCATGTTGTGCGGGGTCGAGAAACCTCACTCCGCGCAACGGGGGATGATCGCACCACGTTGTGTTAAAATGGTCAAGCTTCCTCGAGGCAGTTACACAGTGCTTACAACTGTCTCTGGAAGTGAAAGCACCAGAAAATAAATTAAGTCATACGCAGCTGTCATCCGTACGCAAGGAAGTAAGCACAAGATGCCGAACACCCTTAGCAGGATGCAGCTCACCCTTCATGCGACTCGCCAAATACCTCACGGCGCTTCGCGCTTGGTGATGTGAGAGCCTGGTCCGGTGAGAACCCGGCGTGCTCCGTCCCGGCTTTGTAGGGATGGGGGGTCAAGGGTCAAAGGATTCGGGCATCCAGGCTTAGGATTCCCCCCCCCCCCCCCCCCCCTCGGTGTTTGCCATCGGGGTTGGGTTTTCGTCGCTTGGCAACGACGTTGTAAAACAAGCCGCCCCCCCCGGTGTTTGCCATCGGGGTTGGGTGTTCGTCGCTTGGCAGCGATGTTGTAAAACAAGCCGATTCACTTCGTGAGCTCGGCGACCAGGTTACAGCTTTTGTTTTGTTGCCTTTGTTTTTTTTTGTTTTGCGGTAACCATGAGTGGTGGTCGAGTAGATTATGTTGTGCAGGGTGGAGAACCCTCACTCCGCGCAAAGGGGATAATCGCACGTTGTGTTTAATTGGTCAAACACCCTCGAGGCAGTTACACAGAGCTTACAATTGTCTCTGGAAGTAAAAGCACCAGAAAATAACTTAAGTCATACGCAGCTGTCATCCGTACGCAACGAAGTAAGCACAAGATGCCGAACACCCTTAGCAGGATGCAGCGCACCCTTCATGCGACTCGCCGAATACCTCACGGCGCTTCGCGTTTGGTGATGTGAGAGCCTGGTCCGGTGAGAACCCGGCGTGCTCCGTCCCGGCTTGGTAGGGATGCGAGGTCAATGGTCTAACGACTACGGCATGCACGACTATGAGTACACCCCCCCCTCCGCCCCCCCCGGTGTTCTGCCATCGGGGTTGGGTTTTCGTCGCTTGGCAACGACGTTGTAAAACAAGCCGCCCTCCCCGGTGTTTTGCCATCGGGGTTGGGTTTTCGTCGCGTGGCAACGACGTTGTAAAACAAGCCGCCCCCCCCCGGTGTTTTGCGATCGGGATTGGGTTTTCGTCGCTTGGCAACGACGTTGTAAAACAAGCCAAGTCACTTCGTGAACTCGGCAACCCGGTTACAGCTTTTGTTTTTACCTCTGTTTTTTTTTTGCGGTAACCATGAATGGTGGTCGAGTAGATTATGTTGTGCGGGGTCGAGAAGCCTCACTCCGCGCAAGGGGGATGTTTTTTTTGCGGTAACCATGAATGGTGGTCGAGTAGATTATGTTGTGCGGGGTCGAGAAGCCTCACTCCGCGCAAGGGGGATGATCGCACCACGTTGTGTTAAAATGGTCAAGCATCCTCGAGGCAGCTACACAGTGCTTACAACTGTCTCTGGAAGTGAAAGCACCAGAAAATAAATTAAATCATACGCAGCTGTCATTCGTATGCAAGGAAGTAAGCACAAGATGCCGAACACCCTTAGCAGGATGCAGCTCACCCTTCATGCGACTCGCCAAATACCTCACGGCGCTTCGCGCTTGGTGATGTGAGAGCCTGGTCCGGTGAGAACCCGGCGTGCTCCGTCCCGGCTTTGTAGGGATGCGAGGTCAATGGTCTAACGACTACGGCATGTA